AAGTGTTATCCCCGCATTTTCCTGGATCAGCTGAAGAAAATCACGAAATATCTCAGTAAAGATAGACGGTGTGTCTGGCGAGATTCGAACAGGGACATTCTGAATACAAGTCTAGAGCGCTACAGTGCCAAGCCGCCATTTTAGGATATCGGAGCTACTCTTCTTTCATCGGTAAAGTCTCCCAAAGAACTTGAAATGGAGGGAGGAATTCTCTCCGAATGTTTCTTCACTATGTAGTTCAGGTAAAACGCCAACAGATGCCATGTGCTGTCAGATATAGCAGTTTTTGTAGAGGTCGAAATTTTCGACACTTGGCACTTTTAAAGAGTTAATTTTCTCAAAGCATGATCGTTTTCAGTCAGCACAGTGGCTAGGCTACACGCTGGATGACCATGCCTGTGGTCTCAGTAGGAACATCGCTGTGACTAGGAGGCCAGAGTTCGAACCTCAGTATGGAACCAATTAGAAGGTATACCTGTGACATCCCCCAGTATGATGTAGATAACCATTTTCATCGTCATGTAAGGCTTTCGGTTGAATGGTTGCTAGCGTCTGTTGGAAGTCTAGGTGTTTGAGTACAGTTTAAGCCTTTGACGCACGAATTTCTTCTGTCTGATATTTAAGAATTCAGTTCGTACCTACAGGAAACATTACGTCTCGGCCACAAAGATCAGTCAGTTAATGCGGGTTTGGAAAATACTCGCTGGTTTACTGTGAGAACCGTACCAAACACAAATACACTGAGCGGGGAAAATGCGGAGTTTTTAATGATAAAACTAGTGAAACTTTATATTAACCACAGTGTTTGAAGGTGTTAAACTGTGTTTGTTTCTTTAACCGTCATCACGTGACGCTTTTCTTAGGCGAGGAATAGGAATCGTTTGAAGTACACAGAACTTTAATTGTTTGTGGCGAAACTCGTAAGTATTCTTAATTAAGCTAGTTAGAAACTTCGGACATCTGGAAAACTAATTTCATTTTATATGTTACATAGGAACCGTGGCTTATGTAGGGTCTGTATCTAGTTTAGCTTTCTTGCTCTTTCTTACTTAATGGTCTGTTTTCTCGTACTGAATTTCGCGGTCGAGTGAAAAGCTCTATTCCTGCTTCGTATTCGTGAGATCCCGGGTTCATATCTCTGCTCTGAGACCAGCTGTCACTATCGAGGTTATTCGTGTTCTTCCTCAGTCAACCCAGCCAAATCTCGACACGTATCTAATTACGTCTCCACTGCTTCCTTCCCAAATCTTAACCGTTCATTCATTAATCATCCAGTTATTCGACGCTGTATAATTGACGCTACTGACAGCGTCATTAAATAAAGTATGCATTTTGTCCACAGAGTGTATTTGTGTGTTCCATATGGTTCTCATAATAAAGAGCGAGTGAATCTCTATGCAACATTAACCGGTTGATCTCTGTAGCAGAGACGCAATGCGTTTCCTATGAGGTACGAACTGAATTCTTATATATTATTCGGAAGAAATGCAGTCTTTAAATGGTTGCGCTGACCACTCACCTACAAGTAATGCCGAAGGACAGTACTCCCTCTCTCCCATTTCTTAGGACGGTGCTTAGTTAAGAACAAAAACAAGTTTACCTTTACACGTCAAGACTCTCGTGAGTACGAGTATGTTGATCTCCTGAAAGCGATGACACCGCGGGATTAATGTATCAATCTTCAAATGTAATTGGTGATCGCCTGTAATCATGTAATCTCCCCAGAAGTGTCAACTGACGGCTGGCATATGGTCGCAGGAAACCGTCTCTTCCTGCAGTAAATTTCTCCGGGCGATTCACTCGCCGGTTAAAGTTAATCGTAGATTGATTGCGAACAAATGTCCGTTTGTTCTGCCGGCGGATCTGCTTGATGCATTTTGGTGGAATTTGATATTTGTTGGGGGGAGGCCCTCCACCAAATTTTGGTTAATAGCTCTCCAGTGGGATTGGAGTGATCTGGCTCTAGATACGGGCCGGTGGAGGGCTCTCGTGAACAAGGTAATGAACCTTCGGGTTCCATAAAATGCTCGGAAATTCTTGAGTAGCTGCAGATTTGGCTTCTCAAGAAGGGCTGTGTTCCATAAGTAAGTAAGTAGGTGTATCACTGTATAATAAAATCGTAACGCTGCCGATTGCAGTTATGGTAACACTGTGCACCAATAGAGCGATGCGTGCAATGATTGCTTGTAGTACTAATTCTGCCCGTAGATAGATCTGCCCACAATAGTCTGTCTGTTGTTGTCAGCTGTCTTCTCTTTCATGAAAGGGTCTCATTCTGAAAGCTGTATTTTGTATTTTCTTCCCCCATTATTCGATGTTATGATTGGATTGAAGATGCACGAAACATTCTTCCTAGAGAAGTCTACTTTACTTCAAGTTTCAGTTTAACTTGCATTTTCTCACGAAGAAGAATAAGAAGAGGAGGCCCATCTTGTGGGAAAAAACATAGGCCTGTTTAACGTCTGGAACTTCGATTTGAAAAGCGTTTAAACATGCAGAATATTTTGCAACCCTTTCCATACTTTTGTCTAAAGGAACTTCCTGTTCCTGTATTTACACGATTTCCTGTCATTTCGTCACTGCTTCTGCAAAAACAATCTGCTGTTAGATCCAAGGCTCTCGCAGCGTTATGGCGATGTGAGGCTGTGTCCGGTAGACAGAGTTGAAGCTGTACTTGTGCTTAATTAAGCACCACGCCATGAAATTGAGATGTAGCTGTACAGTTCTTAATCTTGGCACTAGATTGAGGTTAGTTCTCAGATACACGGTGCGGCCGCTTTACCCGCGGGCAAACAGCTTCCGGTGCTTATTGTACAGAGGGGCTGGTTGGGGCTCAGAGCCTGTCTGGACGTTATGGATAAGAGAGAAATCCCTTGCGTTAAAGAGGAAACTCCTGTCTCCATATTCAGCGTCTTCTTCCGTGAAGAAGGTAACAGGCTGCTCTGAAACGTCGGCACTCGTCTACCAAACTACACGTTCTCACCTCATAAGCTTGTAATCATCCACGGGCAGTTGAAATGGACCGGAATACGTTTATTTCACTAATACCAAACGCAAACTCAGTCATGGCCGAAAGCAGAGGGTACTGAAGTTCCCGTCTTAGTAGGAGTTCCAACCTTGAAGAGTACCATCTTCTGGAATGTGACGCCGTATAGTCTGGTAATTTGACCGACGTATCGGAGGAACATACTGCCTCCATCTTCAAGTTCGAAGAATAAGCTACGGAAGAAGCAAGCAGGGCGGCTTGCAGCTCAGAATTCAACCCCCTTGCCGTTAAAGTCTCCAAATTACCTTTCTCAATATGCAGTTCACAATCAGCAAATCAGAATTCTGCGCTCCTCCTTCCCCTTTCCGAATAAAGTGACTCTGATTTTCCCTAACTTGAATTAATAGATTCTTTCCCTGAACACTGGCTAATGAGCTCTCCTGAGGCCCTGGTGACATCCATGCACGAAACTGACCTAAACTTCGTCTAAGACGTGTTATAAAGTACGTCATACTTTGAGTATGCAACCTTACGGAATAAAAATCCCGTGTGTTGTACCAGATCCCCGGTTTCAGCAAATGCTGAAAATAGACTCTTGTAATTTTGTAATGATTACGTAGCGACCTGTGTCTCTATCCGATGACGGCTGGACCTCGTAGATGTTTCAGGCCGACTACCGGGGCGTCGGTGTGTTACATTCCTAGCCCCTCTCCCCCTCGCTCGCTCCTATAGGCTTCAAAGCGTCGAAACGGTTTGGTCTCCCACTGTTTGATGGGTTTCTGAACCCATGCTTGTTTATATATGCGTATTTAGTTTGAAGGCTTCCACCCACAAGAACTGTGGAAGGGTTATTACTGTTTTAGTAGCTGAGCAGTTGGCGTAATGATGCGGGGAAAGATTTGCTTTTACTTGTGTGTGTGCTATGTGGCTAGTCAGGGCCCCTGTGGGCTATTTGTACGCAGCGCTGGCACAGTGATGCTCACGGGAAGTAATATGGAGCTGTCTAAATCTGTGTGCAAAGGGCCTAGCTTTCACGGGCCCTAGGAATACACGTATATTACTTGAAGGTATAGTGTGTTGCAGTGAGCGGTCACTCAGGGTCGTTCCAGCCTGCGCACCAACGCCCTCCGCGAGATCCTGGCGCAAGTACAGGCAATGTTGCTATGAAACAGAGCCCGCCTTGGGAGGCTGATAGTCTCTTAGCTGGCAAATAAAGTTACCCTGCTCGGATGTTCGTTTACGTGCTTAGATGATGTTGGATTTGACTTTATTACTCCGAAGAGTATCGTCGTCTCAGATGTGACGCAGTCTAGTCCGTTAGAAGTTAACCAACGTTTCGGAGGAACGTACTGCCTCCATCTTCAGGGTCACATATATACTAAGCAAGCAAAAAGTGGAATAATCTGCTATTTCTGATTTTAGGCCTGTTTTCCTTACTTTGAAAATAAAAATTAAAAGGAGGCTTATGATATTACCTAGCTGTCTGTGTTTTATAACGACACTGTTAGTGTCGAGACAATATAGCGTGTGTTCGTAGGTTGATTAACGAAGATGGAACAGTTGGTGGAATACGAATTAGCAGGGGAAACGTAAGTACACGAAGAAAATCTGCCTCAGCGATATATTGTCCACCATAAATCCCACGTCACCTGACCGGGGATCGAAGCCCAGCCACCGCGTTAGGAAGTAGGCGAGTGACCCCTTGAGCTGTGTGAGACACGACCTTGGCATTAATATTTAATGATATGATGTCTTTTGTAGCGTAGTTTATGAACAGTTGTAACCATGTGATACATGTAGTTACTATAGGATTCTGACGATGGTGTATAACACACTGATATATTGGGTTTCTGGACTTTATCCATCGTCATGGTTTTTAAGATAACAAAAACACGACGTTTCGGAAACTGGATCTGTTTCCGAAACCTCGTGTTTTTGTTATCTTAAAAACCAGGACGATAGATAAAGTCCAGAAACCCAATATATCAGCATATGATACATGTTTATGTTACAGGACAATGTCAGAAGGTTCTGGAGACGAGAGTCAGCAACAGACGCCAAAGAAATTCTCTGTCGATCGTGCAAAGTCGGGGCGTGCAGTTTGTAAGAAATGCAAGCAGAAAATTGAAGCCGGAGTCCTTCGGCTTGCCAAAATGGGCTACAACCCTTACGGGCCGGGACCACTGAAGTTGTGGCACCACGTGGACTGCATGTTCGAAGTGTTCTCCAAACAGAGACCGACGACGGCCAAGATCGAGACGCCAGACGACATGGACGGCTGGAGTGATTTAGAAAGAGAGGACCAAGAGGAGATGCTGAAGAAGTTACCGAACTGCAAAGGTAGCGGCCATGTTCTCGTGTAGATCAGTTTCCGCACGCGAGACAGCTCAGAGATGGTAATTGATTCAGGCACAGAAACATCTGGAACCAGTGTAGCTCAGTGGGTATAGAGAAAAAGCTGGAGGTTGATGACCGACGTCATCGATGTTCAATCGATGTTCAGTTCTCGACAGTGACAAGAAACTTTTCTCTCCACCATAGCTTCCAGAACATAGCTGTTACTTGGCAATGGGGCTACATGTCACAATATTGTGCATGCTTGCTTGATATTGCTTGTCTTTCTTGAGGTTTACTAACTGTCCTTGTTGAGGTTTCTCATGGTTTTCCTAAGTATCTCTGAGCAAATGTCAAGAAACTTTCTGTATATACACCGTGATTTTCTTCCAAACTTTTATCTACTCATAAGTCGTTATCATACTGGTCACGGTAGCAGAGCGGTCTAAAGCTTCGCTATGTTCGCTATACGAACAGAGAAATATCTCCCTTTGTTGCCAAAGTGACTGGCCACACAGACTTCCGTACGCTACGTACGCTATGTTCCCTATGTTAGCTGCGGCGCAGAGTGTACACAGCGTACGTAGCGTACGTAGCGAACATAGCGTAGCGTTCTGTGTGGCCGAACCTTAAGGCATGTACTGTCTTCGCTCGCTCGGAAGCCAGGATCGTGGGTTCGTCCCACACAAGGCATGGATGTTTGGTGTTTATATGCGTTTATTCTGTGTTTGTGTTGTCTTGTGTTTAGGTACAGACCTTGCGATCACCTGTCCAAGGAGTCCTACCGTCTGTAAAAATGATCATGAAACTGAGAAATCAGCCCTGTGCTCCAGAGAGAGAGCGAGAGGAAAAAAGAGATCATTATCATGTTTTCAGCTTATTCGCTGTGACTCCATTTCAGGAAGTGTCTGTCCCCCCCCCTTGGCACTACAGCCCCAGTGGGCCTAGGCCTACCTCCATGAACTCCGTTCATTTCGGTTTTTCTAGATCTTACACATTCGGTAGGACTCCTTGGGCGGGTAATCAGCTCGTCGCAAGGCCTCTACCTGTAGACAAACACAGAAAAACGCACACAAACATCCATGCCCTGAGTGGGATTCGAACCCACGATCCCGGCTTCCGAGCGAGCGAAGACAGTGCATGCCTTAGACCGCTCGGCTACCGTGACCGGCTGAGGAAGTGTCATTACATAACCTAAAAACCAATCAGGTGGTAACACAGAAGCAAAACTCTGCCATTATTTGCTATGTTTTGAGCATTTTGGGGTTTTCCTTTGCTCGTGAAGACAGATGGAAAGGGAAAGGAGGTTCCAAATAGATCTGTAGGCAAGCGGGTTGGAGTTTATGGCCCAGAAAGGACTGTTTAATGAAATTTCCTGCTTTATTCGCTTTTTTCTGTGGACATGAAAGCAGTACTTTCCTCTCAGATGTTGGTAATGTACACTGTGAGCACATGAAACCTCAAACTAGTGTGCTCTTATGCTTGTGCTTTATAGATTGGACACCAAAACCAAAGACACCATCTAAAGACGACTCTGCAAAACCGAAATCAACAAAGACACCTAAAGACAAAAATAAGCCAAAGAAGGATTCACCTCCTCCAGCAAAGGAGGCCAACAAAGATGACTCTTTCAGGGAGTTCAGGCGATTGTGTGCTGCTTTGTCCGACACGGACAGTTACACTGGGAAGACAGCACACGTCAGGGATTTCTTCACCAAGGGAACGGATGGCAGTGAGTACAGAAACCCTTTACTCTCTTACTGTGCAGTACCGAGTGCCGCATCAAACCTCGACCCAGAGTCAGAGTCACTTTATGACTGGCGGTTTACCGCCAATCAGTTTGTCTTAGCCACAAACCCTTTGAGACTCACGTCCAGTAATTTATTTCTCAACTGAACGCTTGCGGTCACAGTCCTTACGTTATCATTCTCTCTGACGAGAGGATGGGTCTGTCGTTTACAATTGCTGCTGGCCCTCGCCAACGCAGTCATTTTGAGATCCGAGTCCTGCGGAACTCATCACATGNCAACCTGGAGGGCCAGGTCCCCGTATTTATATCCCCTAGGAACAGGGTGGCCCGGTTATACCCACAGGCACCGGGTTCCCTTATTGTCGCCCACTTTGACTCGCAGGGATGCGGTGGAGCTATTCGACCCCACCTCCACACGGGAATCAAAACTCCGCTGTCTTGAGCGAAGTTGTACGCGTTTCTTTTTATATCGTAGCATGTAGACCCGTTGCTAAGTAATGGCTCTGTAAACAAAGCCGGCTGCTAGGTGACGATCGCGAAATATGCAACTATACAAGAGCCGTTACTGAACAACAGCTTCGCGAAAAGGCATGTTCCCACGGAAACGATTGAACTATAACAATGAGGAGCGGTATTTTCTACGAGGTCCGTGCCAAGGTGTTATAAGGGGGACAAGTTGGGAGCTGCAATTAGTCAGTGAAGAGAAGGCTAGGAGGTTGGTGTCAGATGACCGCCAGCCTGGGAGCTAGTTGGAGAAATCAGTCATCTGTGGGATATTCGCTAGTCGATAAGGACGTTAGTAAAATACATTGTTAAGATCCGCTACTAGGAAACGACCAATGAATACATTAAAGGCTTTATGTGTGTTGCGGTTACAGTGTGTAAACCAGTGAGGGTGTTATAGTTAACTTGTGGTTCCGAGTTGTGGTTATAAGGGCTCAATAAATCGAGTCAACAATCCAGACCCAGTTTGTAGCCACTCCGTCACGTGACTGTATTATAGAGCCGTCTACTGGATACAGTTAAAACTAAGTGTGGAACAAGTACCTAATTTCATGGCTAATTTGGACCGTTGTACCATGAAACAAGGCATGTGACAAAATTTGGTAGGCTTAGTAGGAGCAGCGTAAATCCAACGGCAGGTGATGAGGCACATCCCCCCACCCCAGTTAAAAAAAGAGATTAAATTTTTCTATAGTTCATCGCAATTAATAACACAAAATTTCTACACACTGTAGCGAAAATGATCATTGATGTTATAACCTCTAAATCAATTTTATTTACATTGCTGCGCGTGGCTTGTGTAGTGTACTGCCAGGTAATGGCTGTGATGAACAGAAGACCAGCTGAAATTAATTGCTATATAACAACGTGCCAAAGAAACGAAAAGAGTATTGTGAAGTATGTCGCCCCTGCAGCTGTAGCCTTGGTGGGCCGCAGGGTCCAGTGTTTCTGCTGGGAATGCAGCTTGTGCCCTCAGCTGCTGGCCTAAGTGCGGCTGAAACCTAATCTCTTTCCTGAGCAGGAATGTTGCTACGGTTGCCGTCTGGAGATGTTCTCTTTGTGTAGTGCCTTAGCTATCTTTTGATTGTTACTGTGGGAAAACCTTACAATTCGACTTTCGTACCAAATTGATCTGTGAATAACAAGTATAGCGCAAGAGGGATTTATGAAACACTTAAATACTAAGTAAGAATTGAAGTTCTCACAGCGGTGGTTATGAAGAGTTCCGTATTTTGGGATATATCGCCGTGTAGTCCGTTGAAAGTCAACAGACGTTTCGGAGGAACATGTCGCCTTCATCGTCATGGTTGAAGAGTAAGCCGGGAAAGAAACCAGCTCAAAGAACACAGTAAGCTCTGATACATAACCTGAGGACGAAGGTAACATGTTCTCCCGAAATGTTCATTGACTTCCAACAGATTACACGGCATAATATTCCAGAAGATAGTGCCGTTTGTTTAAACAGTAATGTAATTCCCATTGAAAATTCAACAGCAGGTCCGTATTTAAATTTCTGTACCTTCTCCTGGGGCCTGCGGTAGCGTAGTTGGTTGAGGAACTATGCTACAAGCCGAAAGGTCGCGGGATCGAATCCCGATGAGGTGGATTTTTTTTTTTTAATTTACCTAATCCTTCCAGTCGCTCTGTGTCCCTGGAGTTAACTCAGCCTCTGACATAAATGAGTACCATGAATCTTCTGGGGGTAAAGGGCGGCCGGCGCGTAGGGCTGACAACCTCACCGCCATCTGTGAGCCGATTGTCTAGAAAATGTGGGAGCCCCGACATCTCACAACCCAATGAGCCTCCACGGCGTGATACAGGGATAACTTTACTTACTTTACCTTTATCTCTTTCCCTCTTTTACATGTATTCCTTTCCGACTCTCCTTTGTCTGTTCATTGTATTGTCATTTTTCTGCCCCTGGCTCCCTTCCTCCCATTAATTTTAACAGATTTTCTGTAAATATTGCTCAAATGACGTCGTTACACGAGAATATTAGTGACGGTTGTCAGCAAAATTTAGTATATTTGCTGTGGTTGCGTGAATTGCAGTACCTGGAGGATAGGGATCTTGTGTCAGATGTTCGGTTTCTAAGTCTCTGTAATTGTTAGGATTTACTGCACAGTTCGTCATGTTAATGTGAACATTGTTGTCGCCTATTTGAGCACCAAATGTGAAGTGGGCCCAGAATTCCCCATGTTAATGGAATGTTTGCTGTCGTGGTAACTGACTTTTGCAGTCAGTGTTGGGTAATTTCTTATTTGTTACATACTGAGATCTTTTGAATTTTAACACCGTATAGTCTGGTAGGTGGGAACGTGTGGTTTGGAGGAACTTCGTTGTCTCCATCTTTAGTTCCATGATGCCTCGGACCACTACATGAATTTTTATTGCTGTGAACACTCAGATGTTATATTTTCCGTTTCTCGTGGGTTACGGTGTTAAATTCAGTAAGGCCTGGGTTCGACAACTGTGACGCAACGCCTTATACAGCCTGTGTTATGTCGGATTTTGTGAATGAAACATTTAAAAACAATGTGCTTTCAAGCAGACTGCGTCGTGTTGATGGTAGAGGTTATGAGTGGACCACCTCTGTCACCACACTTAAACGCTTGTGACATTTTCCTCTAGTATTATCACAACCCTCACACAAACTGTGATTTAGAAGAAGCAGTATGCCAAGAGGTGTTTCCGGTGTCCACAGAAACCTGCAAGCTGTATTATGGAATCTATCGTTTGACATATGATCTCATGGTAAAGGGACACTTTTAACTGTTTCACACTGAGGACTGTGTTTTCTGTGTGTACAGTCATCTTAATTTCAAGAATAATGAGGCTTTTACAGATTTTGTTTTTATGACAGATTGAAATGGTTTGATGAATAAATATCGACCTGAAGAAGGCCGTCTTCTGGGATGTGGCGTCGTGTAGATCTTGTGTGAACTGACGTTTCGGAGAAGTGTGGTGCTATACCTCCATTCCTTCGTTCAGCTTCATGGGGTGGTGCTTAATTGAAATCACAAGCATAAATGTTTACCTTTATGTATTTACTTAGTTTATTTATCGAGTCTGTAAGTAACTCACGTAGCGTCGAATGATGTGATGGTTGTGTATAATGAATTGGAAGGGATTTGGAAGGAATCAGTTTGCAGACGGATTCGAGGTCCATCCTCAGGCAGGATGGTCCGTGTTCCGACCGACGCTTGAACCTAGCTCGCCTGAGATACAAGTCAGGAGCCGTACCGTCTGAGCTACCATATTTGGTCGTCAGCAAGCGCATGTCATATTGAGACATTCCGTTGTCTGGTCAGGACACACTCAGTGTTGTTAGGTTAGGTCAGTGAAACCTGGAGGACAGGACCCAGCATTCCTTGGCGCTCTGTTGTCACCTCGAAAGTTTGCGCTGTCGTCTTGTTAAAGGGGAAGTGAATGTGCAGGTCACAGGTGGACATGTTCTTAACCTCGGCACTGGATGGAGGCGAATGGCCAGTTTATGCCTGAGTCGTTTTATCCCGAGGAAAGCTTCTCCGGTACCCATTAGATAGGCTGCGTGAACCTCAGAACCGGTGTGCACATTGTGAGGAGGAGAGAAATATCTTACACCTGTTGGGAATCGAACCTCAGTTCCTCAGCCGCCACCCCATAGCCTAGTGGCCATACCGACTGAGATATTCTGCCATGAGGGGAGGTTCTACAGTGATGCTGTGTGTGAGCTTGACTCATTGTGGGGTTTCTTCAAAATATTGAAAGAAATGAGTGTGCCCCACAGAATTTGCCAGTCCCAGCCCTACAGTTTCTTCACCCTGGCATGTACAAGTAGGGTCTGAATTTCTGGCCTCAAATACTTTTCCCCCCATGGGTTGAGGTTTAGAAACGGCAGTGTCTGCCTTCTTTAGGTAGTCTCACATTGCTTGGCTTCAGCAAAATCTCAACACAGTCGTTTATGAATTAAATCGAAGGTTGGTGATGGAACAGGAGTATAAATAGTTGTATACAGCCTCACTGAGAAGCACACATCGCCGTTATCGGAATTGCGTTCAGTCAAAACTCCCGAGCCGCGTCACGAAGAAATGAACAGAAGGATAATCGCATTCCTGCTGCAATGACAGCCACTGGTTACACACAGTACTTTTCCATTGCGTACTGGAAGTTTGCCAACATGTAAGTACGTTAAATGTGACATAGACAACGAAAATGTTTTCAGCTTACCAATCCGTAAATCAACAGCCGAGAAACTCTAAAGCCGAACGTGTTGTTTTCCCCTCTTTTTTCGATATGGAACTATAAATCAATTATTATTTATCCCTCACGCCACTCTGCGCCATTATGTAATGAGACATAGTTCGGTGTTCAAAACAGCGTTTCCCTCCAAGGACGTTGTGACCTCCGGTTTGGGGTCAGAAAGCAACTTTTAACTATGACCAGTTTTAAATGCGACGTTACAGTGCGCGGCCATTTTGTGTAAAATGAAAAATAAG